GTTAGCGGCACTTTTTTTTTTTTTTTTACTCCAACATGTTTCGTCGAGAAAGTCAGAATTCTGACTTTTATCTCAGAATTCTGATTTTTTTTCTCAGAATTTTATTTTTTTTTCTTCAGTGGCCCTAATCCTCTTCCGTACCTTTCCCTGGTTTATCTCCATGTTCATAAAATTTTTGTTTAGTATACCTAAATCTTTTCTCTGCATCTTTAGAAAGAAGGTAGTTTATAGCAGACCTGAGAGCAGATATGTCTTTCCATAATATAGGCGAGGGGAAACCGATATAAGCTTTGTTTTTTGTCTGATAGTTTCCTCTCTAAGGATTTCTGGTTTCCATTTTCTGCCCTTAGTGGCACTATATGAAATGACCAGTCCTCTTGCATAAGCTTTGCAAGTTTCCCATAGTAATTAGGGATTATCTGTTAATTACAAAGTGATGGCTAGAAATGACTTTAGTCCAGTGGTAAAATAAGGTGTAAAAGTATTACCTTTAAGAATGCAGTTGTTGAGTCTCCACCGTCATACTTGTCTTATTAGATCTTTAAGCTTTGTGTCCACAACCACGTTGGCATGATCAGAAATGACTGCGCTGCCTATACTACAGGACAGAACTGAGTGTAAATCAGTATTGGACAAGAAAAAATAATCAATTCTCTTTTGACACCCATAGAGAGCAAAAAAAAAAAAAGATTTTTCTTTGTTTAAGGGGTGGAGGCTCCTCCATGTATCATCAAATCCAAAATCTTGACAGATGGCATGAAGGAGATTTGCTTGGCGAGAAGGAGCCAATGTGCTATGAGGAAATCTATCAACAAGCGGATTTAACATACATATAAAATCACCCCCCACAATTACTGTGTTAGCTGCTATTCATGCAAGGTCCAGCAACACTTTAGTAATGAAATCCGATGGGTGGGCTGGAGGGTAATACACGTTTGTTGTGACAATACCTTGCCTTTATAAGTTCCTTTTAATTATAACGTAGCAACCCTTTTTATCCTTAACATAATCAACCACCTTATTAACCGAGTGAGTCCACAAATGCCGCAGCTCCCTCCGGTGCTGTTGCAATCATTTTCTTTGTTGCCAGGCACATCAGTGCATATCCAATTTTCATCTTTTTCAACTGCTCTTTTACGTTGTAAAAGGCTTTGCGTTTCTTGACCACTGAATAATCATTAAAGAGATCCTCGGTCCAGTGCGGGCGGGGTGGTCTGGCTCTGTACCAAGACGGCGAGCTGCATCCATAACGCACTGCTTGTTGGTGAAGTTGTGAAACTTCATAATGATCGGCCTGGGTTGCTGGTTTTGCCAGGTGCCTGGGAGCAATGTGCACGATCTAATTTGATCTTGCCCGTTTTGGTAGTGATCTTAAGGTAGCTAGGTAGTGTTAGATCCGATTCTTTAGTTGGAAGCCCAAGAACAAGCCAGAGAAATCTTCAGTTCTCAGATGCAGAATTTATTT